CTAGTCTGAAAGACGCACTTTCTATCTACTAAGCTCGACTGGATTTTGATTACGCTTTGTCAGAAGATGACACAAGCTCTAACCACAGGCTGTTGACCTCTGAGTGATTACTGGCTGATTGCCCTCTCCATGGTTTCCTTCATAACGGAATCATTCAGGCTGAAATTCAAACCTTTGGATGCACAGCAATTGCTGGTTATGTTTGGAATAAATTTCTGATTGTCTGAGATTGCACGAAGGGTTTTAAAGTACGCATCGCTTGGTAATGAGGAATATCTAGCAAGATATTTTGCCTAGCCATCTTTACTTTGAAGAGCTTCTGTGGCTCCTTTATTTTGTTTACTGTTTCTCACTGCTCATATTTTCTGTCAGTGCCCTCCTCTCACCCAAGCAGTCGGGGCAGATGGTCTCCCTCCTCTGGTTCTCCCAGAGGTTTTTGCCCTTTTAAAAGCAAGAAATTTTCTCCCTACTGTCATCAAATCCTTGCTCAAAGGGTGTGTTAGGTTTGTCTTGATTGTTAGATCTTTGGCATGGGATGGCGTGTTGTGAAATACATTCTGCAGGGAGACAGAGAGAGACTGGGCTTACTTATATATTCTGCTGACAACTTGTTAAAGGACAAGGGTGACAGCAGAGATGACAAGTCGTGGTATGATCAAGGTTACTGCTAAAATTCCAAGAAAAATACTGAATTCTTTGGGCAGAGGGAGAGGATTAGACTTTTTATTCATGTGAAGAGAGGGACGTCAAGATGCCTATAAAAGGGAAAATGCTGGACTGAATGTGTCCAAAAAGCTAAACAAAAGTTGAAGTTGGAGAGAAGAGAAAAGAGGGGGATCATTGTGAAGCTGGGATTGCTGGATAATTCAACACTTCATTTGTATTCTGATGCCAGAATCTCATTGCACATGTCATGAAAGGACATGGTTACATATACACAGAAACCACACACAGAAAAATCATCCCCGGGCTGTTAGCTTCTAATTATTTCATCCCCCCCCCCCAAAAAACATGCATTCTAAATCGAAAAGCCCTCCAGTAAATCAAAGACTTGTGTTATTCATCACATCATCACCACCAGCGCCCAGCGTCAAAATATGGGAATGCATAGTAATCAGTTTTCTTTCTGTACATGCTGCTTGTTTACATATTCAAAGAAACTGTATGGGAAAAAATGTTGAGATAATTATCTCTTAGAGGTGGTAATTTGTTTATGTGTTTTCCAGAAATATTTGCCAACATGAGGTTTTAAACCTTTATACCAGTTTGTCTGAGCTGTAATCATTAGTGGAAATTACTCATGCTGTGAAATTAGAAACGTAAGATCAGACAGGCAATACTTTGTGCCGAGTATCACCGAGAATAACTCCAAGCGTGGATCCTGAAACACTTTGTGATTTGAAGCAGTGATGCATGCTGTTTTCATGCTGTGCCATTGTTCTAATTTTTATCTACGAGGCCCCAAAAGACAAATTATTAAAATGAAAGTGATTCTACCCATTCCGTCCCAAGCCCCCTTTTTTTGTCCATTTAAACTGCTTTTTTTCTGTTTTTGCCGACTTAGACTATGGTACACATGAAATAATTCTTCATATGTTTTCCATATGAAGCATAACTTTGTTTTAGCCACCCAAACCTTTAATTATGGTCCAGATTTGTATTATTATCTTTGCTTTTCCCATTCTATAAAGGATTTTTGCAATTATAGAGACTGCAGTTTGTTCATTTTGATGATCGGGCCTTTGGAGTACAGCAAACTCACTGTCATGGTCAAGAAACCAAACCAGTTTGAGACGATTTGAGCTTTGTGACAGTGACAGTTATGGGTACCCTGTCTCATAAAGAAATGGTCAGGGTCAGCAAAATGAACTCAGGTAGGCTGTGGCCCTGAAAAAATGTTCAATCCAGTTTTATTTATATAGCACCAAATCACAAAAACGTTCACCTCAAGGTTGCTTTATCCATCCTAAGGTAAAGCCCCTACAATAATACTACCAGCTAAGGGACCAAAAGTGTACCGAGAATCATTACACCACTAAAATTAGCCTAAACTACTGACACAAGGCAGGATGGATCCATGCTTTCTTCTCGGTTACACCACATTCTGAGCCTACCATCTGAATATTGCAGCAGAAATCTTGACTCATCAGATCAGGCAACGGTTTTTCAAATCGTATGTTGTCCACTTTTAGCGAGCCCTCCTGTTTCCCGTTCTTAGTGGCACCGTTTGTGGTCTTTTGCTGCTAGGTCTTCTACTTCAAATGTCTGTCTGAGATCCTCTTCTGCATAACTTGATTATAACAAGAGGTTATTTCAGTTAGTCTTAACTTTCTAACACAAAATAACTCCTGCTCACTGGATATTTTCTCTTTTTCATTCTTTGTAAACCCTAGAGATGACAGGGTGGGAAACTAGATCAACAATTTCTGAAATACTCAGAATGTCAGACTAGCACTGGAATACTCTGACCAGAGATGTTGAAGTTTAGTATATGAGCAAAACTCTTAACCTTGACTGTTGAAATTGCTCCTTTCACATAAAAAGACATGACTAGATAGGTCGAATGTAGAGTTACCTGAGATTAGTAAAATGGATGAATTGGTTTAGTTTTAATTGATTAGTTTTGAGCTTGAATTACTTCATTTAGGGGCATTGAGTGTTGAGATTACTACCCCTAAGGTCTTTCTTTTGTTGAGAGAATGGTTTCATCATTCACATTGATTTTTTTGAGCTATTTTCATACTTTAGTTATCACTCTGGGTGTAGCCTTTTTTGTGCAGAAAGCTCTGAGCGTTTTCTGTCTCAGTACCCATCAATGAAGAAATTAGATTTGCTTCTAGGCAGGCAGCAGTGTTTCAATATTATTTTGTTAAAGAAAATCTGTGAAAATCAAAATCCAGCTTGTCATCAATTTGTGTTTGCAGACGGTTATTGAATGCGATGCATATTTATTTGCATTATTCATCCAAACAGGATTTTTTTTTAACAATTTAGATTTGAATTTTATTTCTGAAAAATAAACCACAAGTATTTGTAGTAACCTCACCATATATCTTTTACAGGTTCATTGTGCAGTCACAAACAAAAACACTTGTGTATTTTTTTCTGAATACACCTTGCAGTTTTTACCACTTTTTGCCCTGCAGTGAACTTTGTTGGCAAACCTTTTCAGTCCGTTTTCTCCATATTTTATTCACTTCCCCTCAGACATTTTTTTTGCCTAACCTTTGCATATAGAACCTTGCTTTTTCAGCAAAAGCTATAGATTTGTTCAGTTACCATGCAGGTAAAAATGTATTTCCCTATTTATTTTGTTGATACCTTTGACTTGAATGAAAGAGACCATTATGAAGTGAAAACTGTGTCTGTAGACCAGTGGCCTACAGTAACTTTGTTATCAGTGTGCTCATGCAGTTCTTGAGGAATCAGACAGTGTGAAATTGCACGATGGTGAATGTTGAGGCTCCGCTTAGAGTTTGTGTTTATCAAAACTCTCATGCTAGATGTACTGGACTAGAACCACAGACTGGCATCTCTTTACTTTTTTTTTTTTTATTATTATGTATGACTTGGAAAAAAATGATGACACGAGACCAAATATGAATTTTACCTTGGGATTTCTTTCTTTTTTTTGTATTACATGCTTTTTACACTTTAGGTAAGTAATCTATGCAGGGATCATTGTGGTGTAGGTTATTCCCAATGTCCCAGATGTAATTTGCAACCTTCATTTGAAATGTTTGCTCCTTTGGCCTGGTGTAGACAATACTGAAATAAAATCTTTTCTATCAATATTTGTCCCTATTCTAGCTTCATTTTAAGGCTTTTGGTTTTCTGCTTTGAATCTCTATAAATTATCCACGATTCTTTTAATACCCACAGATTAACCAGTCTGTGAGGTCACAGGCGAGTACACGGCACACCCAACATGAACACCACCACAGGCTTACCGCATCAGCAGCTGTCTAAGCCATCCCTTGCATCTCCTTACAACAGACACAACATTATGTAAGCCGTTACACACATATACGCCAGCATCCAGATTGAAAGAATTGGTTCGGCACTCGCAGGGTGCAAACGAGGTGCTGATGGGAAAGCACACGCAGACAGTGTCATATAGCCTACAAGGCATTAGGATGATGAGAGAACTGTAACATGTTGGAGGTATTCAGCACAATATCCTATTCATCTCTCTACCCATTCTATATTTTCATAGAAATATTGCCCGCGCACTGGGAACAGGAAATGTGGGCCGAGGGTCTGCAGTGAGTCTGAGCAGGAAGCTCTGAGGTTTCATTCCACAAGTCCCTGCAGCCAGGCGTAATTGGCTTCCACATTCCTCCAAGGATTACGACTCACTTCTTATTTGTGTTTATATATAAAAAAAAATCCAAACATTTGCTTTGGCCCCCTTAATTACGCTCAGTGTCAAAACAGACACTGTTTCCACTTGCCTTGTTTTTTTCCTCACATTGGGTGAAATAATAAACAAGTGAGTGGACATTTCAGCTCTTATTGAACACATCCAAAGGTTTTCTATCTGTTTTTATGTGTAAGGATCGATGGAAGGCTACAATAAACAACCTGAAGATATTTTTATTTGTATATTTTATTTACAAAAATAAAAACAAAAATTGCTCGTAATATACGAAATATGAAATATTTTGTGTGAACTCAAAAACTTGAAGCTTTGGCCATGACACCGTCTGCAGTTGGGCAAACGTAGCTGAAGCAGTAAGAAACCTGACTGTATGGAATCGGGTATGACTTTTACAGATTTGTCAGTCTAATCTGCCGCTGTGTGCAATGACTTCCTCCGGTTCCCCAGAGCTATTGTCTATGAATGAATATGGACTTCTTTTATTCCACGGGTGTGCCACCTGCCGGTGCGTCACGGCTCCTCTGACCAATCCCGCCGCAGTGACTCTCCGTGCGCCCTTGGAGATCCCGCGGTGCTCCTGACATCGCCGCCCAATCCACGTCTCGGTGACAGTAGAAGGTGCCGAGCCCCATTAGCTTAGTACCGTTAGCGCTTCAGATGTGATTAGATTGGACTGCCGTACTGCTGATGTGCCAAACATGGACGCGTGACAAGTTTCCCTGGATTGTCTTTTCCTCATCTACTTCTGCCGCTTTTGACCGCGCACGCATCCGCAAACGATGTGAGGTAGGTGTGCATAAGACAAAAAGCGAAAGTTTTGGAAATATTTTGTCAAGAAAAGTATATTTTTACACCCCCACAAACGATTTACAGCTGCTTTATTGTGCCGCGTTTTTCGTCCCACAACGCTTCACTTTGAAGTTCCGGAAAAATCTGAATAAAATTATTACATGCGCTTGTTTCCAAAACGAACACATTATATACAGGATAGCAATGCGGGTTCGATTGAGATCTGCTTTTGTTTAGATGCAAGTTTGAGAAAACAAGTGCCACTGCCGTCCGCCGGCTCAGCATCCATGCCCAACCCTTCGCGCTCTTCACGTCTGTCCTGTAAAAAGACGACGTGGCTTCTGAAGCGTTATGCTTTAGTAAAGTTGAAAATCATAAATTCCTATCATGAGCAAAATCTTGAATTACCAGAAGTTCGACAAAAATCTCCAAAAAGAAGCACATTTTCACCAAAAGAGGTCGTCCTTAATGCGCAGCGTGTTCTTCGTCTTGTGGCACATTCACATTATTTGCTTTCCTGATATAAAGAATTTGTTTCTGTATTGCTGTGGACCGGGAAGCAAATTAATAGCATTATTACATGGCAATTGGAAGGCATTTATTAACTCGAATGACTGTTTATTTATGATGTCCATAGATGGCAATGTAAAGGAATGTTCCCTCTCAGTGAGGGAACATTTGACTTTACACTGGATAATGAGTAAGAACAGAGGCAATGGCATCTGTGCCATAGTGCAAATATTTTTCTTTTAGTCCACTGCAGCAGTTATTCATCACACAAACCAGAGTGTGAGTTTGACAACACAGTAGCTGTAAAGAAATGACAGACTCCTATACACTCTGTGATTCCTTTACAGTTTTTGTAAACCTCGATAGTTTTAATACGTTGCACATATCAACACTACCAGCATGTTTTTATATCTATATATCAACAAAACCATTGTTAGGGAACAGTGCGTCAGGTTTCGTATCGTGCTGAATGCTGGGTCTGTGACAAGTCTGTTAAAGGGTGAACAGGAATGTGTTGCGATGATTATGACTTTCCATTGCCTCCTTTGTTGAGAAATGCAGCGAGGACATTCACAAAAGAGAAAAAAGACACATGAGAGAGAAGGTGATCAGCAATAGAGCTTTCACTGTGTGATGTATTGTTTGTGCCCCGGTCAATATTGGTTGACTAAAAATTTTTTCAGGCTTTCCTCTCTTGATCGATGGTTTTGTTGTGGACGGTGCTACTGTTGTATTGATCGTCATTAGGACTTTTCCAAATAGGCTGTGGGTGGAGGACAGTACTACTGATCCTGGCGACAGGTCTAGATGGCTCTAAAGAACATGAAAATGTCTTAGCTTTTATCTTCTACACCTGTTGTTCTGCTCATACTGTAGGTTCCAAACTTGTTGATATCTACTGATATAAAAAATAAGATGTGAGGTATTACAAGTATTTATAGGACTGATGTGAGGTGATAGTCTTCTAGAGTTGGAAAGCAAAGGTCAAACTGTTTCCCTCCACTCAGTTTGATCATTAGAAGGAGTGGCTTGGATTTACTTTTTGAGAGTTTAATGATAAAATCAATGCTTCTTTTATGCCTGTTTGGCAATACCTCAAGCGTAGAATTAACATTGGAAACAGTAACCCAGGCTGCAACTTCCTTTAACAATAATAGGCTGTACAAATCCATACAACAAAAGCGGCAGATTTCTACACAAATCCCCATCTTATCCATTTCAGTTGTTCATTAAAGTGTGCCAGATGTTTTAAGCGATGACTGGCACAGACAGTGGTGCATATGTATTAAAAATGACAGGCTGCATGAAAGATAAACACAAGAATGCAGAATACTAGATGAAATAAATAATTTATGATTCAGACAAAGGCATCAGTACAAGAGTAAAACCCTGAGGCTGCAGTGTACTTTGACTGGCACCACCAGGCTACTTTTAGAGCAGAAAATAGGAGACAGTGATGGGTATTTTACAGGAGTCAGCTGGCCAAACAGACTGGCTAACTCCCCCATTGGGTTTCATTAGAGCTCGTCTTGATGTTAAAGCCTGTTTAATCCACTTTCACAGCCACACAGACCACAACAGAGCAAAGAACAGTGTCTATCTTTAGACAGCACATGAGCAGAAACTTTTCCATCTCAGTTCAATTATTAAAACAATAACACAAATTCCTTGTAGCTGGCCTTTAAATGTCTCAGTTTGAGAGGTTCCCTGGGCAAAACTGTGTGCTTCTGGTAATCACTGAAACCGATGGGACCGGTGTTTTCAGCTTCAGATAGAAGGGTGTCAATCAGTGCATGCTCAGTTATCTTATCCATAAACAGCTTTGCACTCCTTCTTGCATCCCCCTCTTGTTCCTCCTGTGGGTAGATGGGCTGATGTAGGGTGTGATTACGGTAAAGCCTTATGAGGTGAGTGCTTTG